GCATTACACTCACCTTGATAGCAAGAGTTAGGTCCGAGCCCAATCAGAAGCATTTCTTAAAAGAGGAACTTGTTGGTGTGATATATATATATGTTGGTGTGATTATACAGTAGTATGACATGTTTCTATAATCACTCCTATTATTATTTATGTATTTGTCAATATCAATCGATATATAACTGTATATAAATATATATATACATCAAATTTAAAAAAAAACCCAAAAAGCAATGTCTTGTGGTGTAAATGCGTAATTTACTTTTTTTTCCATTTTACTGTGATTGATAACTAGCTTTGATTTAATTATTTTTATTTCATGGCCATTCGCATCCAACAGGGAGCGCCTTCTAAGCCACAGTGTGGACTTGTGCGGTACGTTTTGTGTGGTAAACATAATATAATTACGAGATATAATTAGAGCGGTTGGCTGGTTCTCACCCTTCAGGTTAGTGGTTCGAATCCTCTAGTGTCTACTTCGCTTGTGTGCCCTCTGGACAAGCACTCTCTAGTCAAAGGACTAAAAACAGGTGTCGGTCAATGCTTATATTCTAAATTTTAAAATTAGGCCTATATCTTTATGGTGGTGAATTAGGTGCCCGGCTATAAATGCTGTATGGGGTGGGCATGGTGTCACGAGACACATCATGTTTGCTATCTATAGTCTAATAACATGTTAATATCTTTAGGTCCAAGCACTATGGCGTTTTAGCGTCAAGATGAGGCGGACAACTCATCATCATTATTACAATTGTTAATGTTGTCATCGGTCATAGCCATTGATCTACAATTTACAATTATTTTTAATAATAGATTTTGTGAACTTTGCGTTGCACACAAAATATTATATAAATAACTTTAACTTTACACATGGATTTACAGTAATTTGTTTTTAATTTATTTTAAATTTATTTTAAATGTCTTTTTAACGTCTTGGACGATCTACATGGGTGCTATTTATTACTTTTAGCTCCCGGCACCAATAGCTCATAGAAAAGCTCATTTGAATGGTCGATCGATTTATTGATTAATTAATTGATAGATTGATCGATTGATAAATGCTGTATTTATATTGTATATTACAATTTTATCACATTTGTTTTCTGCAAAGTATAATAGTTTTACCTATTATGAGAAACCGATATGAAGTAGCTGTTTATGCCTGATATGAATTGTGAATAAAAGTGGGACGACCCCACAAAAGATAAAAAAAAATATTATATAAATATATTATATATATAGTTATAATGTATGGTGCCTAATACGTAATAACGGTTACACATTACTTGTCATATTACACCCGTTTTATTGGCTCAAAAGATTGATTTTAAAAGTGAGAATCCCCGAGGAAATAAGCCAGTAATTGGTTATTTTTTTGTCTATGTCAACTGAATCTAGAATATTTGTTGAATGCGTATTGTAGTTTAAGTAATACAAATGAAAGGATATAATGAATAGGCATATATAACTAACTATTAAAAATAGATATATAAATAAATGAGAGACACATATGTTTGTAATCGCATGGAACATTAAGTAAATAAACAAGGCATTGTCAAATAAATTCCAAATAAACGACCAAAAGCAATAACATAAAGCGACTCAAATTGTTATACGATGAAATAAGTTAATAAGTCGTATTTGCATGGCTGGTGAAGACGGCGTATGAATGTACCGTGGATTGTATACATAGATGAGTATATACACACTGATGTGTGAGGACATACGGTCACCACGATACTCATTCTATACCAAAATATCGATCCAGGAATAACATGGCATTTAACTTAACTAAAATTGATGAAAAGAATTCGATCGATTTGTACATACAACGCCAAGCGTTCTACCAGAACTCGTAAAACTGATATAGTGGTATCAGATTTTTATTATATTTTATTAAATACTGCTGGCTGACACTATTTGCAACACCATAGAAAATCTATTTTCTCTATGGTAACACATGGTAAAAGCAGCAGGGGTGGATTTAGGGGGATTTAGGTAAAAAATAGGAAAAAAGAAAGAAAAAGAAAAAAATGATAGCCCACAACGCCTCAAATGTTATTTTCGGGCGTCTAGAACACAAAAATTTTGCGGGGGCATGCCCCCGGACCCCCTAGGACATTGTTGTCTCGACCGGCCCAAATTTCGGCCCCCCCTTTCGGCCCCCCCCCTTTTTGTACATCTCTGGATCCGCCCCTGAGCAGTAGTGGCAACTTAAATGTGTGATCCGTGGCTTGTAAACTTTGTTAGGAATCTTGATGTTGGTCATTATTGGTAATGAATATTGTACGACTTAATACACCTTTAAAACGCCCGTCAGACGACTTGGTTTTGGTTGGCTCAAAATTATCACTTTATCCTGTGATTGGTTGTTATGAAACGCATGTTGTGTGCGCTTGTTGAAGTTGAGTTTGAGTCACATTTTCTCTTGTGGAAAAGTTAAGCCGGGTTAGTTCTGCGCACGTGTTAGTTCGTTCTTGAGAGCTGTAGAGCAGTGGTTGCACCCAATGTCAGATTATTCACATTAAAAATGTACTGCGGTGACTTGCCGGCGTAGTATCGTTGCTTGCGTTTGGTTAAGATGAGATCTTCATTGGTTTTAATATGTTGTTTAATTAGGCTATAGATTTTTTTTCTGTATTCTTGATAATTATAAAATAGATCGAAACGTTGATCTCAAAATATCTCTGTCTCTTTGTTTTTTTGTTTTTGTTGTTTTTTTTTTTAAATTATATTTTATTAAATTAATAGGAAGGTATACTCGTTAAGATTCGCGGCCTACCATTCCAAGGTTGTGTGTTCAATCCATTACATACATTAACGTTTCATTCTGAACATCATAGTTTATAGCATCTCCTAGATCAACAACATAAGTAATTCGCCAGCGACTGCCTGTTAAATAAAAATGTTATTTTAAGGTGTTCTATGTAGATGCGCAAAGCATATAAAAATGCGTTGACACTGCGCATTGTTACCTTTGCCTTAAGATTGAGAGACGATACAGTATTCACGCTTAATAAGTAATAATTGGATGCCGAATACTTCCTTTCGAACACCCCAAAGCGATGTGAGTATATTGCACATCCACTAATTAATGCACGGAAATGTAGATAGGTTTATGTTAAGCTTCCTTTCTTGCAGTACATACATACACTGTTTATGCTTCCGTCTTTTAAAGAAAATTTAAACCATCTTAAACTCAAAATAACATGTATTAGTTCGTGTGTGCAGAATAGATACGGTAGTATGCAGCTGAGAAATGCGAATTTATTGGGTAAAATATATAGCATAGAAATATAATAACACAAAATACTAACATAAAATTAAAGATGACATAGAATTCACAACCTGCCTCTTTATAATTAAATAGACATACATAAATTAAATTTTAGAAAATAACATAAAAATATTGCCTAAATAAATATTACTTTCGAAGGCGTGGTATTCACTCAAATAATAAATATACTTAATTCACACCTTAATACACACTTAAAAACACTA